TCTTGATGACTTTGTGGAGCCTCCATACCACCTTTGTATGTCTTCTATCTTCTTTAAGTCACTTTTTTAGTTGGAGTTTTCTGTGATTTTTAACTGAATCTAATATTTTACCATTACTTTGATAGTGAGGCCTTCCCTGACCCTGCAGACAGCATCTTATATTTTTATTTTATAGCCCTTATACTGGTGAATGATTAATTACTTATGTGATTTTTTTGGTTTAATATCTGTAGCAGAGACCATTCATACCCCACCTACACCCTCTTGGAACTCACCATTTTCATGCACAATGATCCAGTGGCTTCCAACTGCAACCATCTGCAAGTCATCGGCTTCCTCTGCCTGCCAATTCCCAACCAGCCCGTGCGCAGGGCAATCGAAAAGTGTCCCCCAGAAGCAGCCCTCAACCAAGGACTAACAGGAGCTGATGGATACTCTGCCTACATTGCCTCCTGATTGAGATATCTCTGGGGTGTGTTCTACACTGTCTCCTAGTGTTTCCCAGCAGGATTTAACTTGAGTTGCCATGGCAATAACCTGCTGGATAACACACCTTGTATTGATATCTTTCCTTTCCCTCCTTCCACAAATTTCTACTCTTCTAGTGCTTCCTGAGATCAACTCTCCAATAAATCATTTGCACTCAAACCCTTGACTCAACATTTGCATCTGGGGGAACCCAGCCTAAGTCAATATATGCCTCCTTGGCTAGATTTCTAGCTCCATTAAGCGTGGGAATATGTCTGTCTTATTCATCATTGTATCTCTAGTACTCAGCAAAGGCATATGGACAACACTCAAAAGGTGATGAATAAATATCAGTTCATTTTTTTTTCTCTGACACAGCTAGAGTTTCCCACATATGAGTGGTCCTAACAGATATGGATAGGAAGTTTATTCTACCACCTTCTGGATGGACTACACACTTCTACAGAAATACTGGAGAAGTAGATTGAAGTGTGTAGTCTGCCATGGTGAAAAACAGGTGAAATTGTGCACTACAAATTAGTAAGTAAGCACAAGTAAACCCATGCTACCTTTCTTATTGGGTAAACCATCCCTGCCTGCAGGGCAAATTTTCTCTTAAAAATGCTGACTACAAAGTAGATTTACCTTACCGATGCCACAGGGAAACCCTCAGAACAAAGGCAAGGGGTCTTGGTGGAACAGAGATTTTTAGAAGGCCAAGAAAAGAGCACAGAACATCAACATATGCCACAGGGTTTGGTCCTGGTGGTGTAGTGGTTAAGAGCTATGGCTGCTAACCAAAAGGCTGGCACTTCGAGTCCACCAGGAGCTCCTTGGAAACCCTATGGGGCAGTTCTACTCTGTCCTATAGGGTCGCTGTGAGTCAGAATCAACTCGACAGCAATGGGTTTTTGGTTTGGATGAGTTGTTAAGAGCATGGATTTGGAATCATTTGTGTATCTCATGCAACCACTGTTCATGTATCTTTGAGTGTATTAATTCATCCTGTTAAGACTCAGTTTCCTCTTCTATAAAGTAAGCATAATAGTTCTTACCTCATAAGGTTATTCTAAGAATCAAATGACAAAGCGTACCTAAAGTGTAGAAAACAATCCAAAACCCCTTGCCATCAAGTCAGTTCCGACTCATAGTGACCCTACAGGACACAGCAGAACTGCCCCATAGGGTTTCTAAGGCTGTAATCTTTACAGAAGCCCTGGTAGCACAGTGCTTAAGCGCTCACCTGCTAACCAAAATCTAAGTGGTTCAAACCCACCAGCCACGCCATGGGAGAAAGATGCAGCAGTCTGCTTCCATAATGATTACAGCCTTGGAAACCCTGTGAGGCAGTTCTACTTTGCCCTATAGGGTCCCTATGAGTCGGAATCTGTGGGTTCAAACAGCCGGCCTTTTGGTTATCAGCCAAGTGCTTAACCACTTCACCACCAGGGCTCCTTATCAAGAACAATCCCATTGCAGTCAATCCAACTCATAGCAACCCTATAGGACAGACTACATTAGCCCCATAGGGTTTCCAGTGTTGTAAATCTTTAGGAAGAAGACTACCATATTGTTCTCCTGCAGAGCAGTGGGTGGGTTTGAACCACCAACCTTCCGCTTAGCAGGCAAGCACTTAAAACCACTTCTCCACCAGGGTTTCTGTCGAGAACAATAGACATCCCTAAAACAATAACATATATTGCAGATGTTATCACTGCCAAACCCATATCCTCTTGGAACTCACCATTCAAGCTGATGGCCTCCAGCTGAGAACACCTGCATTCTCTGCCTGGGGATTCTCTCAGCCCAGGTACTTGGGTCAGGCTGGAAGTGCCAGGGAGTTAGCACTTCCAGGAATAGCCCTTAGACAATCATGGCTGAAAGGTGGTGAATAAATATCTCTATTTCCTCACAACCTCAGGTGGAACAACTTTGAGGATTCTTCCATACTCTGTCCCAGGGGTCCCCTGTGGTCTTGAACCCCATTTTCCCACCGTGGTAACCTGCTCATTAATGCACCTCATATCGACTTGTATCCCTTCCCTGTCTCGCTTTTCTTACTTCCCAATTGCAGCTTCCCAGGATCAACTTTGAAATAAACCACTCACACTCAAATCCTTCTTTCAGGACAGAATCCGGACTAAACCACTGTATCTCATGATATAATCAGGGTTAATAATTTGAGGAATTTGATTTGCAATGAAATGTTCAATTCACTAACCAAGCTCTGTCTATTCAGCCTACTTTCAACCCCTTCCCTTCCATTCACAGCCATTGCTTCCACTGAGGCTCTTCTCTTTTTTTTTTTTTTTTTTTTGGCCTATACTATAGTCTTTACTGCTCTCCATGCTTTCAGTAACTCTATCATCTAATCCATCACCCACTTACTGCCAAAGTTATCATCCTAAAATGCAGTTCTGATAATACCATGCCATTGTGTTTTTTAAGTCTTCTGGGAGCCCATTACCTCTGTGATTAAGTCTACACTTTCAAAAACTGGTTCCAACCAGTCTTTCAGCCCCCTCTCCAGTGATTGCTCAACATAGCTGATGCTCAGACCACATAGAACTAGTTAGTGTCTTCTTAAAATCCCTTCCACCTGCCCCCTCTGTGCCTGTTTGAATGTGGCCTTCTCTGCCTGAAGTACCTGGCTCATCCTTCAAGGTCTGGCTCAAATCCCCCCACCCCACGCCCACCCCCATCAGGCTTTCTCTAACTCCTTGGGCAAGTTACTGGCTCCTTTCTCTGGGCTCCCACAATAGTATCTGCATTTATTGACTTATTCATTAATTCAGCAAGCGTTTTCTGCGCATATACTACTATATGCCAATCACTGTGCTAAACCCTGGTCAGACGATGTTGGAATTGAAAAGCAGAAATGGCCATGCCAGATGAAGTTTACAGCTGAATGAAGGAAACAGATACTACCAGGTCATCGTATAAAAGAGACTTTAGTTACAAACTAACAGTTTCCAATAAAGGATGCTTATCCACTTATCCAGCCTGTGGAATGGAGAGGCTTCCACGGGAACTGCCTGGTGAGTGGAGAGCAGATGTAGGTGTTAACACGAGAGGAAGGAAATGGAGCATACATTCCAGGCCAAGGGGACAGCAGGTGCAGAGCCCTGTGGTAGGAGGGAGCATAACTCTCTTTCTGAGAAATAGAAGGCCAGGATGTTTAGAGAGCCACAGGGAGAGAGGAGCAGTGTATACCCTTCATTGTGATGTACCTATTTGTTGACTGTGTCCTCCCTGGGTAAGGACTGTGCATCAAAGTCATACTCACCCCAGCATCCCCGCAAAACAAACAAACCCATTGCTGTTGAGTCAGTCTGACTCATAGTGGCCTTTTAGGACAGAACAGAACTGCCCATAGGGTCACTATGACTGTAAATCTTTACGGAAGCAGACTGCCACCATCTATCACCCGCAGAGGGGCTGGTTAGTTCAGACTGCTGCCGACCTTTCCTTAGCAGCCAAGCATTTAACCACTGGGCCACCAGGGCTCCCCCCAGCACCAGCACGATGCAAATGAACAAAACTAATATACCCATTTTATGGATGAGGGAAGGTCAGACTCAGAAAGGCTGAATGAGTCGCCCAAAATTCCAAGGCTGGCAGCAGCTGCACAGCAACTGGAATATACATTTAATCACTCCTCAACCACATTCTTTTCCTTAACCTGCCACAAGGCGCTCCCTCATCTTTTTTCTAGAAAAATCCAAGTTTTTCCGTGAGTTTTTTCCCCCAAAGGGCTGATAACAAAACAAAACAAAGAATGGGTTATCCCTCTTGTGGATATGTGTGTGGCGTATATGTGCGTGCGCATTTGTGTGACTGTTGGGAGGCGATGCGCATTCATGGTCTGGAGGTCCGAATAAGAACAGGATTCTTTTCTGGAGCCTCTTTAAAGGCCTGCAATAGTGCGGCTGGTGAGAGTTAGCCATCTAAGGACGCCCCTGGCGCTGGCCCCTTAAAGCGCATCTTAACCCTGCAGGTCCAGAGAGAAAAGACCTCGGGATTGGACTTGCCCTCTTCGGTCCCTGAGTGGGGTCTCTAGTTTCCCGCTCCCCTCTCCGCCCTTCCAGCCAGGACCAGCTGTTTGGGAAACAGCCCAATTTCCCGGCTATCCTGCCAGCCCACGCACATCGGTGGGAAAGGAGGCAACCTTGTCTCGAGAAGGCATCCTCCCGGCCCAGACATTCATCTCTGCCCATTTCAAGGCGCCGGAGCCTGCAACGTATATAACCAAGTACCGCGCCCATAGGGGGAGGGCTGGGCGGTCTCTCTGAGTGTTTTATTTACGAGTTTTGGGCAAACCCAGGTCTGGGCCTGCGATCAAAAGCCTGATTTGAGACCTGTTCAGGAAGTGGAGTTGGGGCTTCGCTCGGTGAGGGACTAGAGGTAGGGAGCGGAGGTGCGGCGAGCGCGGGCGTGGGCGCGGCTCTTGCGAGGATTACGGCGGAGGCTGTGGACCGCGGCGCCGCTCGCCTAGGCTGCAGCCATTGCACAGCCGAGCATCCCACATTCAACAGGAGGAACCCGCGGGAGAGCAGCTCCGAGGCCCCGTGTCGCAGCCGCTGCAGCCCGTGCGCCCGGCGATCCCGCGCGCCATGGCCAAGGAAGGCGTGGAAAAGGCGGAGGAGACGCAGCAAATGATCGAGAAGGAGGCCGGCAAGGAGCCGGCGGAAGGCGGCGGCGGCTCCCACCGCCTCGGGGACGCCCAGGAGATGCGCGCAGTGGTGCTGGCCGGCTTCGGGGGGCTCAACAAGCTGCGGGTCACCAGGAAGGCCATGCCAGAGCCGCAGGACGGCGAGCTCAAGATCCGCGTCAAAGCCTGGTCCAGTATCCACGCCTTTCTCGCTTTCTCTCTTTGCGCGCTCGGTGCTCCGGGGGAGGGGTGGGACACTCTAGGAGGGGACGTTGCCTGGGGTAGAGCCCCTGCGGGCGCCCGCGCCCCAGAGCCCGGAGTCGGCGGGGCTGCCTCCGGCCACCTTCCGTACCCTCATCAGGGTTTCGGAGCCTCCCTTCAGCCCGCGTCCGGCAGAGGAGGATGCTGAGAGGTGGCTCTCTGTCTCCAAGCCAGACGTAGGGGTGACCAAAGGAGACCGTGAGCACTTGGCGGTGGGGAGTGGGGATGGCGATGGTGGTGCCCAGTCTCGGGATCTGGAAGGTTGTGCTGCGGCAGCCTTCCGCCAGGTGGGACAGCTCAGCTGCCAGCACAGGGGGTTGATAAGATGTTTTAAAACAATAATAACCGCCGACTTACAGTGTGCCAACCGCGTTTTTTAGAGTTTTACATATGCGATCTTATTTAATACCTCCTAGAACCCCACTGGAGGACCTGTGGTGGCACACGGTTTAAGCGTTCTGCTGCTAACCGAAAGGTCGGCGGTTTGAACCCACCAGCCGCTCTGCGGTAGAAAGATGTGGCAGTCTGCTTTCGTCTGCCTTGGAAACCCTATGGGGCAGTTCTACTATGTTCTATAGGGTCGCTATGAGTCGGAATCGACTCGATGGCAATGCGAGAAGAACCCCATGAGTTAGGTATCATCATTATCTCCGTTACAAGTGAGGAAACCGAAGATCAGAGACAGCGAGTTATTTGGCCAAGGTTACCCAGCCTCCGCTCAGTGGCGCGGCTGGGATTTGATACTGGGGTCCTTTTAACCTGTGTGCTGGGGCTGGGGATGTGCGTGCCCCTGCTCCCCTGACATGTCCCTTCTTGTGGCCTGCTAGATAAGGGAACTGAAAAGCTGGGGGTTGGGTACCGAGCATCAAAGCTCGGCTAGGGGCACGAAGCCAAGGCTGCCTGCCGCTCAACCCTGCCCCCTGCCCCCACTAGCATCTTCTGTATTTCTCCAAAGGGGGGAGGTGATTAATGCCCTTAGAACTCCTGCTCTCATCTTAGGAGCCTGGCTCTCAGGAAGGGCTTTTATTCCCACTCTCGCTGGGTGACCTTCCCCTGACCCGCCAGCTGGGATTCCCCGAGTGTTTAAGCCTCTCTGGGTGCTGGCCCTATATGATCATTTTCCTGAAGTTCTGGGGAGGGTTCACCCTATGGGTCTATGGCTGAACATAACACTCTGACTTCTCTATTCAAGCAGCAATGTCAAACTCTTGAAGGGAACGTGCTGTTACCAGAGTACCAAAAAAAAAAAAAAAAAAAACCTCGTGGCTGTCGATTCCAACTCATAGCGACCCTGTAAGATAGTAGAACTACCCCATAGTTTCCAAGGAGCACCTGGCAGATTCGAACTGCTGACCCTTTGGTTATCAGAACCGGACGGGCCTATCCCTTCTCCCGTCCCATTTCCGTTCGTTAGAGCCCCCAACAGACACGGTCCCTAAAGCAGCAGCTAGCTTACCAGCTCTCAGAATTCGGGACCTGAAACCCAGAATTTGAGACCTATCTAGATGCAAGAAAAATGCAGAGGCAATTGCTCTCCCCTTTGCTACCTTGAGAGCAGAGGCAGGTTTCATTTGGCAGACTGGAAGGCAGCTGGTGAAAAGAGTGGACACTGATATCTGGCTAGTGTCTCATATGCGCAGGTGTGCTGGACTCTAACCCAACTCTTGGTCCTCTCTCTGGGAACTCAGGACAAGGGAAAAAGCATTTGCAAACTGGGGAATCCTAAACAAGTTCTATTTTGTTAACTCTTGTTGAACTGAGCTGGTTGATCCCAGAAGACAAAGCTTTCTCTGCTTTCTCTGCACAGCGCAGTGCTTGGCACACAGTGTGCCCGTAATAAGAAATTTCTGAAGGATTAGATTGAGGAAAGATGCTTGGTGGGGAGAATATTGAATTATTTTTCTTTACTTGCTGGTGGAAGAGCTTCTGCCTTGTAAAATCAAAACCATGTACTGATAACTCTACTTTCTTAAGCACTCTGCTAATATGTATAGATCCTTCCATCCAAATTGAGGATTGGGTACTAGGACTCGTGTATATATTCAGAGAGTGAAAATGTTGAAGCGACTTTTAAAAGAGAAAGAAGTTATTTGCATTGTAAATAGGTCTGTGTTCTCTAGCTTTATGCTAACTGCATAGATGCTAATAGTAACTAAAGCGTTTTGAAATAATAAATGTCAAGATGAAGGCCAGGAGATTGATTTTCAAAGCCAGACTTACAAGCCTGTTCTTCAGTGGAGCTGCACTCACACACACACACACACACACACACACACACACACACACACACACACGCACTCTCTCTCTCTGCAGACTTGCCACCCCCATTGCTCAGAAAGCCAACTAGGAATGGGGGGAGGGTGTGGCATTTGGAATACAGTATTACAGTACTGATTTTCATTTTGCCAAGCTGGAAGCAGAGTTAATCGGTTTTGCAAGGGGGGATTGGAAGAGGCTTGAGAAGGTTGCCCGCTGAGCCCTTCCTCGTCCACTGGGCTAGGATTGGTTAGCCAAAGATGCTCATTGTAAGCTTTAGCCTTTGGAACCAGGATGACTCATTCTGTATTTTTATGAATCAGTTGATGGTCTCCTGGCTGAAGGTCCCTCTTTTATCGGCTCTCTCTTTCTAATGGAAACCTTTTATCATCAAACAGGGTACGATTTTTGCTTGGGAAGAAAGCATCAGCACTAGCATTATGCAGACCTGGAATGGAGGGTCCAAGTTGGTTACTCTATAAATTTTATGGAAATGGAAGAGAATAGGCAGGGGAAATACATACTCTATCTCATCTACTTTCTCTCATTTATATATAATCCAGTGAGGATTGTTCTCATATTACAGAAGAGAAAACTGACCCTTGGAGAGGTTGAGTAATTTGCCTAAATATTACACAAATAGTCAAGTTAGGATTTGATTCTCTCTTCTTAAAGCTCTGCTGTTTTCCTTTTATTCCATTTTGTCCCCCTCTGTGGAAAAGCCACAAGAAATGTGATTCACATCTCTGAACCTTCGACATCAAAGCTTGCTGTTCTCCCTTTCTCCAATGAGTATGGCTCTTGGCTCTTTTTTATGTCTGCCTAAAGGGAACATTCTCTGGTTATTCCCAGAGCAGCATGGTTTTCCACTGAGAGCAAAGATTGTTGATCAAATGCAGCTCAAAAAGAGCCATTGGGGGTGGGGAGAGTATCGGAGCCCTCTGTCTAAATTATTATCAGAACATCATTGATGGGGGACTCTTTTCACCAACTATTCATTAAACAATTTACTCAACCAGTGGCTCAAAAAGCCAAGTGGAAACAGAGTGTGGCCTTTGGAGAAAGACAGACCTGGATGTAAGTCTAAGCTCTACCATTTCCTATCTGCGTGACCTTGGTGGGCATATCTTCTAACTTCTCTGAGCTTCCCAGCAAAATGGATATAATAAGTTGAACTTCACAATGTTGTTGAAAGGATTAGATGCAATATGGAGATTGGCCTATTGTTGGCACTCAGTAAACAGTGGTTACCATTGTTGTTGTCATCTCCAGTTGCTGTCAAGTTGATTCCAACTCATGGTGGCCCTATATGTGTCAGAGTAGAACTGTGCTTCATCAGGTTTTCAATGGCTGATTTTTCAGAAGTAGATTGCCAGGCCTTTCTTCCGAGGTGCCTGGATGGACTTGAACCTCCAACCTTTTGTTTAGCAGCTGAGCACGTTAACCGTTTGCACCACCCCAGGACTTGGTTGCTGTCATATCTATACCTATATGACATATATTTTTTGGTGACCTGACAACATAGAGGCTACCATTTTAATCTTGTAGTATATAATATAAGCAGTATCATGTCACATCTGCTTAGTAATTAAGAGTCAGACCTTCCTAGACATGAATTCCAGCTCTGCCACTTGCTTCCTGGGAGTCTTAGGGCCAGTCCCCTAGAAGTAGAGCCTGAGACAGGGATTCTATTTCAAGCGTTTTATTGAGGAGATACTTTCAGGGGAATGGAGTGAGGGAAGCAGGATGAGGCAAAGAAAGGAGCTAAGCAAGGCTGTGGTCTCAGCTGTATCCCACTAGGAGCTGTGGAGCATGAATCAAACCACAGAGCCAGTCCCACCTTGAAGCAAAGGAGGTGACATTTTGTGCCCCCCAACAGTCAGTCATTGGCTGTGGGCTGCCCTCTGAGTTGGGGCATGAAACCTCTCAAGCAGAGATGGCTTCTGTTTGACTGAGGGCAATTCTCCAAGAGAAACGGACAGGTCTGAGCCATGAGCAGCCAACGCTTCCAGCAGCTGGGGGCTGGGTGTACCAGCCAGAAAGGGATCTGGGCAGGGTAAACTAAACTTTATTTTCCTAATCTATGAAATCTATAAAATGGAGGTGATAATAGTATTTCCCTTCGCAGTGTATGTAATGAAGTTTAAATGAAATACAATATATAAAGACATTTATGAAGATGCCTGGCACATAGCAAGTGGTCGGTAAATACTGGCTATTATTATCCCCGGGTGGGGCAAATGGTTAACGCACTCAGCTACTAACCAAAAGATCAGAGGTTTGAGCGCAGTTAGATGTGCGTCGGAAGAAAGCCTAACGACCTACTTCCGAAAACCCTATGGAGCGCAATTTTACTCTGACGCACATGGGGTCACTATGAGTCGGAATCTGATTTATTATTATCTAAATCATTATTATTATCTAACCTGGTTTATTATTATCTAAACCATTATTCTTGATTTCTGTAGACAGCTTCTATAATTTATCATTCAAACTTGAGCTCTTTTGAGAGTGAAAAGAGCACTCTTAATAATTATTCCAGGACAGCAGGAGAAAACAGAGACTGTCCTAGGCAAACCAGGTTGCGTGGTCCCCCAACTGTGAGTCAGATTTGTGCCCATGCTTCCATCACTCTTGTCATAGGTGAACTTCTTCTGGACAAGGGCTGGTAA